TCATAAGATTAGCAAAAGTCAACCAAATACCTTAATAATGTTTTTGTAAACGTTGAAAGGGTTTCAAAAAGCCCCAAAAGTTCATTTAAAACTTTAAAATAGCTTCTAATATGAAAATAATTAGCTTTTTTTTCTCAGGAATAACCTTTTGTCTCATTTTAATTACATTATATTTTGGAAAGAACGAGCGGTCAATGAACACCTGCATCTGTTGAGAAGAAATGATCTAGTTCTTTCTGTCCAATCAAGATTGCTTTGGCGATCATGAGTGAAGAGGAAGAGGTGCCCTTGATGAAGAGCGAAAGGGCTGGCAGTCAGAAGTCCAGCTGTGACTCTGCCCTGCAGGTGCACCTGTACTACAGCCCCAGTTTAAATTCAGAGACCACCTTCACCATCCCCACCAGACACATCACAGCGGAGAGCGTGTGTGTGCTTGCTGCTAAAGCCAGCGGTGAGACACTAACACACTGTGTCACACATCGCTATTTAAAGGCTTTTTTTGCAACAAAATGCAACATAATGCATCAGTTTGCCGATAACGTTTATAAAGTCGAGGTCTGTCTTTTAGATGATTCAGTATGTCTAAAGCATAGAAATTACAGGTTACACAATAATCTGCTATGTTTCTAATCTCATAATTAAATGCATTTAAAAGAGTTGTGCACCAACCTTACAACAACCTGAATGGAATATTTCTGTCTTTAGGAATTCTTCCTGTGTTCCACAACCTGTTTGCTTTGGCATCAGAGGACCTTTCATACTGGTATCCACCAACTCATGTGTTTAAGAGCGAGGAGAATGTCAAAGTTCACTACAGAGTGAGGTACAACAGCTGTAATAATCATATATTTTATTTACAAAGAGCTTAATCTTACTGAACATTTGGAATTCATTTGGAATAAATTTATCGTATTATGTTTTTAAAACAATGATAATTAATAAGTGAAATAATCAAAAACTCTAAATTTTTAATTCCTGATATCTGAAATTCCAATATTTATGGTTTGAAAATTATTTATATCAGTGTTTATATCAAGTGTGTCATTTCCATCACAAACAAAAACGTTGGCCCTAATAAAGTTTTTTTTTTTT